ATGTAGTGTCTCTACTTTAAAGAGTCCTCTCATGCTGATGTTCAGGTGTATATCAGTATGTAGCGTCTCTACTTTAAAGAGTCCTCTCCTGCTGATGTTCAGGTGTATATCAGTATGTAGTGTCTCTACTTTAAAGAGTCCTCTCCTGCTGATGTTCAGGTGTATATCAGTCTGTAGTGTCTCTACTTTAAAGAGACCTCTCCTGCTGATGTTCAGGTGTATATCAGTATGTAGTGTCTCTACTTTAAAGAGTCCTCTCCTGCTGATGTTCAGGTGTATATCAGTATGTAGTGTCTCTACTTTAAAGAGTCCTCTCCTGCTGATGTTCAGGTGTATATCAGTATGTAGTGTATCTACTTTAAAGAGTCCTCTCCTGCTGATGTTCAGGTGTATATCAGTATGTAGTGTCTCTACTTTAAAGAGTCCTCTCCTGCTGATGTTCAGGTATATCAGTATGTAGTGTCTCTACTTTAAAGAGTCCTCTCCTGCTGATGTTCAGGTGTATATCAGTATGTAGTGTCTCTACTTTAAAGAGTCCTCTCCTGCTGATGTTCAGGTGTATATCAGTATGTAGTGTCTCTACTTTAAAGAGTTCTCTCTGATGTTCAGGTGTATATCAGTATGTAGTGTCTCTACTTTAAAGAGTCCTCTCCTGCTGATGTTCAGGTGTATATCAGTACGTAGTGTCTCTACTTTAAAGAGTCCTCTCATGCTGATGTTCAGGTGTATATCAGTATGTAGCGTCTCTACTTTAAAGAGTCCTCTCCTGCTGATGTTCAGGTGTATATCAGTATGTAGTGTCTCTACTTTAAAGAGTCCTCTCCTGCTGATGTTCAGGTGTATATCAGTCTGTAGTGTCTCTACTTTAAAGAGACCTCTCCTGCTGATGTTCAGGTGTATATCAGTATGTAGTGTCTCTACTTTAAAGAGTCCTCTCCTGCTGATGTTCAGGTGTATATCAGTATGTAGTGTCTCTACTTTAAAGAGTCCTCTCCTGCTGATGTTCAGGTGTATATCAGTATGTATGTAGTGTCTCTACTTTAAAGAGTTCTCTCCTGCTGATGTTCAGGTGTATATCAGTATGTAGTGTCTCTACTTTAAAGAGTCCTCTCCTGCTGATGTTCAGGTGTATATCAGTATGTAGTGTCTCGACTTTAAAGAGTCCTCTCCTGCTGATGTTCAGGTGTATATCAGTATGTATGTAGTGTCTCTACTTTAAAGAGTTCTCTCCTGCTGATGTTCAGGTGTATATCAGTATGTAGTGTCTCTACTTTAAAGAGTCCTCTCCTGCTGATGTTCAGGTGTATATCAGTATGTAGTGTCTCTACTTTAAAGAGTCCTCTCCTGCTGATGTTCAGGTGTATATCAGTATGTAGTGTCTCTACTTTAAAGAGTCATCTCCTGCTGATGTTCAGGTGTATATCAGTATGTAGTGTCTCTACTTTAAAGAGTCCTCTCCTGCTGATGTTCAGGTGTATATCAGTATGTAGTGTCTCTACTTTAAAGAGTCCTCTCCTGCTGATGTTCAGGTGTATATCAGTATGTAGTGTCTCTACTTTAAAGAGTCCTCTCCTGCTGATGTTCAGGTGTATATCAGTATGTAGTGTCTCTACTTTAAAGAGTCCTCTCCTCTGGTGTTCAGGTGTATATCAGTATGTAGTCTCTACTTTAAAGAGTCCTCTCCTGCTGATGTCCAGGTGTATATCAGTATGTAGTGTCTCTACTTTAAAGAGTCCTCTCCTGCTGATGTTCAGGTGTATATCAGTATGTAGTCTCTACTTTAAAGAGTCCTCTTCTGCTGATGTTCAGGTGTATATCAGTATGTAGTGTATCTACTTTAAAGAGTCCTCTCCTGCTGATGTTCAGGTGTATATCAGTATGTAGTGTCTCTACTTTAAAGAGTCCTCTCCTGCTGATGTTCAGGTATATCAGTATGTAGTGTCTCTACTTTAAAGAGTCCTCTCCTGCTGATGTTCAGGTGTATATCAGTATGTAGTGTCTCTACTTTAAAGAGTCCTCTCCTGCTGATGTTCAGGTGTATATCAGTATGTAGTGTCTCTACTTTAAAGAGTTCTCTCTGATGTTCAGGTGTACATCAGTATTTAGTGTCTCTACTTTAAAGAGTCCTCTCCTGCTGATGTTCAGGTGTATATCAGTACGTAGTGTCTCTACTTTAAAGAGTCCTCTCCTGCTGATGTTCAGGTGTATATCAGTATGTAGTGTCTCTACTTTAAAGAGTCCTCTCCTGCTGATGTTCAGGTGTATATCAGTCTGTAGTGTCTCTACTTTAAAGAGACCTCTCCTGCTGATGTTCAGGTGTATATCAGTATGTAGTGTCTCTACTTTAAAGAGTCCTCTCCTGCTGATGTTCAGGTGTATATCAGTATGTAGTGTCTCTACTTTAAAGAGTCCTCTCCTGCTGATGTTCAGGTGTATATCAGTATGTATGTAGTGTCTCTACTTTAAAGAGTTCTCTCCTGCTGATGTTCAGGTGTATATCAGTATGTAGTGTCTCTACTTTAAAGAGTCCTCTCCTGCTGATGTTCAGGTGTATATCAGTATGTAGTGTCTCGACTTTAAAGAGTCCTCTCCTGCTGATGTTCAGGTGTATATCAGTATGTATGTAGTGTCTCTACTTTAAAGAGTCCTCTCCTGCTGATGTTCAGGTGTATATCAGTATGTATGTAGTGTCTCTACTTTAAAGAGTCCTCTCCTGCTGATGTTCAGGTGTATATCAGTGTGCAGTATCTCTACTTTAAAGAGTCCTCTCCTGCTGATGTTCAGGTGTATATCAGTATGTAGTGTCTCTACTTTAAAGAGTCCTCTCCTGCTGATGTTCAGGTGTATATCAGTATGTAGTGTCTCTACTTTAAAGAGTCCTCTCCTGCTGATGTTCAGGTGTATATCAGTATGTAGTGTCTACTTTAAAGAGTCCTCTCCTGCTGATGTTCAGGTGTATATCAGTATGTAGTGTCTCTACTTTAAAGAGTCCTCTCCTGCTGATGTTCAGGTGTATATCAGTATGTAGTGTCTCTACTTTAAAGAGTCCTCTCCTGCTGATGTTCAGGTGTATATCAGTATTTAGTGTCTCTACTTTAAAGAGTCCTCTCCTGCTGATGTTCAGGTGTATATCAGTATGTAGTGTCTCTACTTTAAAGAGTCCTCTCCTGCTGATGTTCAGGTGTATATCAGTATGTAGTGTCTACTTTAAAGAGTCCTCTCCTGCTGATGTTCAGGTGTATATCAGTATGTAGTGTCTCTACTTTAAAGAGTCCTCTCCTGCTGATGTTCAGGTGTATATCAGTATGTAGTGTCTCTACTTTAAAGAGTCATCTCCTGCTGATGTTCAGGTGTATATCAGTATGTAGTGTCTCTACTTTAAAGAGTCCTCTCCTGCTGTCTGTCAGAGTGTGTGTGCCCCTAACCCAATCACAAGACACATCCTTTAACACGAATGCTAAAGAAAATAAAAGCAGCACACGAGAGAAAATCTGCAATTTGTTCAACTTTATTGAGAAACTCCACGACAGAGCTATGAGCGGATCCGTCAGCTTGGAGTTTCATCTTCAGTGCAAAAAGAGGAGCGCAGTGTCGGATGAACTAACGGCTCTCTCGTCTAAAAACAACTAAACAGAATAAAAACAACAAAAAGCTGAGGTTTCTCTTTATCTCAGCAGCACATGAACCAATCACTGACATGCATACATGATTGATCTGTTAGTCGTTCTCTCTTCAGTCCCTGCTCTGGGTGCTTTTATTCTTGCAGTTGGCACATTCACAGCTCAGAGTACTCACCCCTTCACCTGCTTTATTTATTTACTTTATTTTGAAAAGCAGAGGGAAAAGAAAACAATAACATCTGACATTTTTAAAAGCAATGTTAGGGTAAAAAAAAAAAAGAGGAAATAATGAACAAATTGCTGTTATTGGCTGATGAGAGGGAGGGGGCGTGGCCACATGAGAAAACCTCAAAAGTGTATTCCAGCAGTGAGAGGAGGAGGAGGAGGAGGAGGAGGAGGAGGAGGAGGAGGAGGAGGAGGAGGAGGAGGAGGAGGAGGAGGAGGAGGAGGAGGAGGAGGAGGAGGAGGAGGAGGATCACATGGCGTATTTCTGAGTCCAGTCCTGAGCCGTCTTGTTGTACCTGCAGGGGAGAAATGTTCAGTTGAGATCAGCTGTTAGCGGGCAGATCAGGGATGATGCCATGCCTGCAAACACAACACACACTCTGTCCCATACATTTTATGTTCGTCTCCATTTTCTATTCAAAATGCTACAAACTGCAGCCGAGTTCAACCTCAGAAGCTGCCAGAAGAAATTAAACTACGTAAAAAATAAATAGGGCGAAGCCTGCGAGCTAGTTCAGGCAGTCAACTCGAGCACCAATGATACATTAACACGTGCCGCGCCCCTCTGACAACCAACCAATCACATTCTCCTAAACATGCCGCACTATTTGAGCTGCCAGGTCTTCCCTGCCTCTGCCTCGCTACGCTGCTGCTGCCTCTGCCTCGCTGCTGCTGCCTCTGCCTCGCTACTGCTGCCTCTGCGCTACTGCCTCGCTACGCTGCTGCTGCCTCGCTACGCTGCTGCCTCTGCTGCTGCCGCCTCGCTATGCTACGCTGCTGCCTCGCTACCTCGCTCTGCTGCCTCGCTCTGCTGCCTCGCTCTGCTGCCTCGCTCTGCTGCCTCGCTACGCTGCTGCCTCGCTACGCTGCTGCCTCTGCTGCTGCCGCCTCGCTATGCTACGCTGCTGCCTCGCTCTGCTGCCTCGCTCTGCTGCCTCGCTACGCTGCTGCCTCGCTACGCTGCTGCCTCTGCTGCTGCCGCCTCGCTATGCTACGCTGCTGCCTCGCTCTGCTGCCTCGCTCTGCTGCCTCGCTACGCTGCTGCCTCGCTACGCTGCTGCTGCCTCTGCTGCGTTCATGTTCCTGCTGTGTTTCATGTTGCTGCTGCTTGCTGCCCCCCCCACCACCCCAGCCCCCACCTGTAGGCTCGGGGGATAGTTATCTAATCATCACTCAATGTTCTCTGTAAATCTGTGGAGTGATGAGGCCCGAGCCTAGACGCCAAACTATATGCTGCTTCTAATAAACATTAAGAAACAGGTGAGTTGACTGAAACAACCTTTGTGGTGTCTAAAATAAGTCTATTTCTATAAGCGGTCATCTTCTTTAGGTAACACACTGACTAAGGACAACTACATCCTTCAACCTGACTTTCAAACATCCTCTTAAACTTCTGATGTTGTGTTTAAAAGCCCTGCTGCCGTGTGTCTGAGAGGCTCTGGGAACCTGCAGGTGAGAAGATGAGCCGCTCGGACTCTGTTTCCGGAGCCATGCTTTGCTTCAAAACGTGCTTCAAGTCCACAAACCCAGCGTGGGAGTTTCCAGCGCTTACCCTCACAGCATGGCATACGTGTCTGTCCACTCCCTGGCTAGTCTGCTATACCTGAGACAGACACTCGCGTTACAAAGGACGCCACGTTTGATGCGTTGCTACTTTAGAGAGGATCTGGAGTCCAAACTAAGGGCGTCTGTGTGGACATGTTAACACCGTTAGTTGTTATTACAATGCACTCACTTTACGGGGTCTGTTTTGTAGATGCGGGCGATCTCTGGCACTAGCGGGTCGTCGGGATTCGGGTCACATAACAGAGAACAAATGGACAAAAGCACTGCGGAGAGAAACACATGATCAATAAGTTACAGATATTTGTCACAACTGCACATCGTTGTTTATGTCAGGAGACATCTTGTTTACGTCAGGAGACATCTTGTTTACGTCAGGTTGTTGTTTACGTCAGGAGACATCTTGTTTACGTCAGGTTGTTGTTTACGTCAGGAGACATCTTGTTTACGTCATGTTGTTGTTTACGTCAGGAGACATCTTGTATACGAGCGTCATGTTGTTGTTTACGTCAGGAGACATCTTGTATACGAGCGTCATGTTGTTGTTTACGTCAGGAGACATCTTGTTTACGTCATGTTGTTGTTTACGTCAGGAGACATCTTGTTTACGTCATGTTGTTGTTTACGTCAGGAGACATCTTGTTTACGTCAGGTTGTTGTTTACGTCAGGAGACATCTTGTTTACGTCAGGAGACATCTTCAGGAGACATCTTGTTTACGTCAAGTTGTTGTTTACGTCAGGAGACATCTTGTTTACGTCAGGTTGTTGTTTACGTCAGGACACATCTTGTTTACGTCAGGTTGTTGTTTACGTCAGGAGACATCTTGTTTACGTCACGTTGTTGTTTACGTCAGGAGACATCTTGTTTACGTCACGTTGTTGTTTACGTCAGGAGACATCTTGTTTACGTCAGGAGACATCTTGTTTACGTCACGTTGTTGTTTACGTCAGGAGACATCTTGTTTACGTCACGTTGTTGTTTACGTCAGGAGACATCTTGTTTACGTCAGGAGACATCTTGTTTACGTCAAGTTGTTGTTTACGTCAGGACACATCTTGTTTACGTCAGGAGACTTGTTGTTTACGTCAGGAGACATCTTGTTTACGCCAGGAGACATCTTGTTTACGTCAGGAGACATCTTGTTTACGTCAGGAGACATCTTGTTTACGTCAAGTTGTTGTTTACGTCAGGAGACATCTTGTTTACGTCACGTTGTTGTTTACGTCAGGAGACTTGTTGTTTACGCCAGGAGACATCTTGTTTACGTCAGGTTGTTGTTTACGTCAGGAGACATCTTGTTTACGTCAGGAGACATCTTGTTTACGTCAGGAGACATCTTGTTTACGTCAGGACACATCTTGTTTACGTCAGGTTGTTGTTTACGTCAGGAGACATCTTGTTTACGTCAGGTTGTTGTTTACGTCAGGACACATCTTGTTTACGTCAAGTTGTTGTTTACGTCAGGACACATCTTGTTTACGTCAGGTTGTTGTTTACGTCAGGAGACATCTTGTTTACATCAGGTTGTTGTTTACGTCAGGAGACATCTTGTTTACATCAGGTTGTTGTTTACGTCAGGAGACATCTTGTTTACGTCAGGTTGTTGTTTACGTCAGGAGACATCTTGTTTTGGTCAGGTTGTTGTTTACTTCAGGAGACATCTTGTTTACGTCAGGTTGTTGTTTACGTCAGGAGACATCTTGTTTACGTCAGGTTGTTGTTTACGTCAGGAGACATCTTGTTTACATCAGGTTGTTGTTTACGTCAGGAGACATCTTGTTTACGTCAGGTTGTTGTTTACGTCAGGAGACATCTTGTTTTGGTCAGGTTGTTGTTTACTTCAGGAGACATCTTGTTTACGTCAAGTTGTTGTTTACGTCAGGAGACATCTTGTTTACGTCAAGTTGTTGTTTACGTCAGGAGACATCTTGTTTACGTCAGGTTGTTGTTTACGCCAGGAGACATCTTGGCCCTTTCTCATTTCTCTAACTCCCCTCCTCGACTCCTATCCTCAAGACTTAGTCCCGCCCACAGGAGATGCGAGCGGAGGACTGAGGAGAGGAACCGAGGAGAGAGGAGGGGAGCCGAGGAGAGAGGAGGGGAGCCGAGGAGAGAGGAGGGAACCGAGGAGAGAGGAGGGGAGCCGAGGAGAGAGGAGAGAGGAGGGGAACCGAGGAGAGAGGAGGGGAACCGAGGAGAGAAGAGGGGAACCGAGGAGAGAAGAGGGGAACCGAGGAGAGAGGAGGGGAGAGAGGAGGGGAACCGAGGAGAGAGGGAGGGGAACCGAGGAGAGAGGAGGGGAACCGAGGAGAGAGGAGGGGAGCCGAGGAGAGAGGAGAGAGGAGGGGAGCCGAGGAGAGAGGGGAACCGAGGAGAGAGGAGGGGAACCGAGGAGAGAGGAGGGGAACCGAGGAGAGAGGAGGGGAACCGAGGAGAGAGGAGGGGAACCGAGGAGAGAGGAGGGGAACCGAGGAGAGAGGAGGGGAACCGAGGAGAGAGGAGGGGAACCGAGGAGAGAGGAGGGGCGCCGGGGAGAGGGGAGCCGGGGAGAGAGGAGGGGAAGCAGCAGGCGGTTAGAGAAAGGAGAACTCCTCTCCTCTGAGCGGTCACTTTAAAGAGACGTCCATTAATGATGACAGGAGGCAGCAGCCCTCTGTCTGATGGACAGATGTGTTCATGACCACTTCGATATTTACTTTGATTCATTCACAGTGCGGTGTAATGAGACAATAACAGGCTGCAGATGCGTATCTTGTTTGTAGATATCTACTAAACTAAAGCCGAGAGAGTCGGCCTGTTCTACTGAGTGATAACTATGATACACACTGCTCTGCTTTCTGCACGGACTTCACAGCTGTTCTCTCTGGAAACATTGCGTCGCGATGAAAGCAGTTACTAAAATAATATCCAGGGGATGCATGCAGAGCTGTGATTGGCTGAGATAAGTCCGGCCGTGCGTCACGACTCTTTGAAACATCTCTGTTCCCGGATATGCATCCGCGAAGGAGCCATCAGTGTATCCTCGGTTAGAGCTCCTCCAGAGAGCCTCCTCCCTCCTCTCTCCTCGGTTAGAGCTCCTCCAGAGAGCCTCCTCTCTCCTCGGTTAGAGCTCCTCCAGAGAGCCTCCTCGATGCTCGGTCCTCGAAGTGCATTTAGAGAAATTAGATGTCCTTCAACATGGCGCGCTGAAATTCATTTCCGGGTCACTACCGGAGGAGTCGAGGAGTCGAGGAGGGGGATTTGATGAAATGAGAAAGGGCCCTTGTTTACATCACATTGTTGTTTACGTCAGGAGACATCTTGTATACGGGGTCATGTTGTTGTTTATATATCTTATAAACAAGATCAGTGCCTCAGTGCTCATACTATATCTCTCTGGAAACTCCTGGTAAGCTATGAGCAATTTACCAAATACAACTGAAATCACCATCTGGTGAAGTGAAGTTTAAAGCAAGAGAAGACGTTATGTGTCTGTCTGGACTGAGTGCTGGTTCTGAATGGGTCTTCACAGCGCGACTGGAACTCACCTTTAGAGATAGTTAAAGCAGGAGACCACTGTGATCTCAATATATCCAGGCAGATGCTGCCGTTACTGTTAATATTTGGGTGATAAATTCTTGTTGTGAAGGCGACCTGAAGGAGAGAGGAGAAACACACACAATAGCTCAGACCAGAGAGAAGCCTCTTACATAACAACTGTTACCGCCTCAATAACTAAGATAAGAGGCACTTCAGTGATCCCTGACTGGGGAGAGTTTGCGTTGCAGCAGCATAAAAACATGGCACATAAGTAGAAATTCAATGAGTAGAAATAGAAATAAAACAGTTGACCGTGAAGATAATAAATCTATCTGAGGAGGAAACTGTTGATAAATGAATTTAGCCTTTTCAACGTGTTATTTTGAATGTGTTTAATTAACTGGTTGTTTGCCACCCCTTTGCTCGTCCCTGCAAACAGAGTTTATTTAAACCAGAAATATCACTCACTAGTATCGCTAATTATTAAAGCAATTGTAGTTTGTTTTCTATAAACTACATTATTATTTACTGAAGTCCTGCGGAAGCTGTTTATTTTTGGATTGTGTCAAAACAACAACTCTATAAAGGCTTTAGGAAAATCTTTGTACCATTTTGAAAACACAACAATCCTCAGATGCTCTTTGCTAAATGTATCAAGTGTTTGGCTTTTTGACAAGAAAAATACTTTCTGTAATAAAAGTGGTGGATTTACAACAAAAAAAATGTACTAGGAAAACCACGTAAATATTCTAATGCTGCGTTCACACCGGACGCGATGCGAATATTCGCTTCGCTCTAATCGCTCGAGTTTCCCCGCGGCTGCCAGCTGTGTTTACTCGCATCATTCAAACAGGATGTGCTGGCTCGGGGGCTACAACTACAACAAGATGAACATATTTGACCGTGATTTAATTGTAATACACGTTTCAAAATGATGCTGACGTAACAACATACTGATACCGGTTAGTAAAAACCATGAATTAATGCTTTGACAAGTCTGCAGACAGACGGCAGAGAAACACCTTTTAAAATGCGTGTTGTCTAAATAGAGATCGGCTAAGCTAACGCAGTATATGCTCCGACCGTCCACACTCACAACGGCCTACAGACATAAATAAACCAGCGACTGTATTCGCCATGACACAGACAGTCTGTGGTTTGTACTTGTTTCACTTCCGTCTAGTTTCTGAACAGATATGAGGAGCTGTGAGCTCTGAGTGCTAACAGCTAACAGCTAACGTTTTGGTTTTCTGATTCAACCAGTGTTGCCAACTCCATAGTAAGGAAAGTAGCTATTGGCTGTCCGAAAAGTCGCCAGAAGTCACTAAATGATGTCATCGCCTAATTTGCATATCATGTAATGGCGGTAAAAAAAACGTTCCACCCCCTTCAAGGATCAAAACTTAAAACCACCAGAGTAAATCCTGACGACAGTAGATCAGAAATGTCTCCATTAGAAAAAGCAGAGTAGAAATAGTTTTTAGTAGAAATCTCCCTTACAATAAAGGCAGTATGCCCGTGTGCCATCTCCAATAAATGGCTTCAACCATCCTTTAAACTCAGGGTTTGATTCCCACTAGGGCTGAACGATATACCGTGTCATGGCGATAACCGCGGTATGCGCATGCGCGGTATTCACACCGCAGGGACGTGCGGTTTTATTCATTTTTTTTAAAAATGCTAACGCACTTTAGCACAGAATTCAAAATAAAGATACCCTTATCACTTATCGAAACTGCACATACAATATATCCGATTAAAGCTGAGACTCCACAGATTATTTAAGTATAGTATCTAAGCGATCCGATCTCGCAACAGGGGAAGCAAACACAGACATCACAACACGTACCTTTTACGGAGCTTTTACGGGAGATCGTCTCACCGTAGCTGTCAATCTGATCAAAAGACGTGTTCAATGGCATAAAACGAGAAAGAAAAAACGCGGCTGAATCGGTTGATCCATAGGTTTATAATGTATCTGTGGCTTTGAAGCAATTGTTTATAATACATAATTCCATTTTTATGTCGGAGCACAAAAGTTAGCTGCTAATGGTAGCCACCTTGGTGGTATGCAGCTTCCGGTTTTGGCTACGCGTCGTCACTCACTCCTTATTTGTTCATGTGTTGGTGTGTGTAGAACTTCCCCTGATATTTGACCTTTTTAGACAGATTTACCACAAAAAACCCTCTTCTGGGGCCATTTGGGTGGATTTTCCATATCTCTGGCCCACCTTGCTGGATTTTGACATGTGACATCTCTTTCTGACCGTCAGAGCCAATGGAATCGAGGGGAAATCACACAGTCCTTATTTGGTAATGTGTGTGTGAGAGACTTCCGCATAGCCAAGACCGGAAGCAGCAGCCACTCTGGTGGCTACCATTAGCAGCTAACTTTTGCTCTGCGATATTTACAAAAAAATTGAATTATGGATTATAAATTAAATCATTTTTTTAAACAGAGACGTTAAAAACCTATGGATTAACCTTTTCAGCCGCGTTTTTTCTTTCTCGTTTTAATGCGATTGAACACGTCTTTTGATCAGATTGACAGCTACGGTGAGACATCTCCCCTCGAAGCTACGTAAAGGTACGTGTTGTGACGTCTGTGTTTGCTTCCCCTGTCCGAGTTCAGATCACTCAGTGATGATACTATATACCTAAATAATCTGTGGAACCTCAGCTTTAATCGGATATCTTGTAAGTGCAGCTACGATAAGTAACAATAAGGGTACTTTTATCTTGAGTTCTGTGCCAAAGTGCGTTAGCATTTTTCGCTCAGAGGTCATTTAGATGCTTCTTATGAGACTTGTGTTTTGTTTTGGTAAACATGGTTTGTATCGTCAGTTAGCTGAGATTATTTCCGTTAATCTGGTATAACACATTAATAGGTTCTTAAATATTACGATCCTGAGACACTGTCGTGAAAAAAAAAAGTAAAGTACCCGCCGGGACTTTGGGGTTTAACAGGTTAAAAAAAACGCAATATATACCGCAGGGGGGGGGGGGGGGGGAGAAACCGCGATGTCAGTTTTTTTCAATACCGTGCAGCCCTAATTCCCACTCCTCTCTGTACTTTTGTGAATACAGTTCAGACTGTGACACGATGACCTACGTGAATGTTTAGCTTGTCACAGAGGCACACACACAGTGGACGAGGTGATTAAGTGACTGAGGCTGTGTGAGTCAAAGCAAAGGCAGTTATTTATTATAGTGTGACAGTGAAGAAACATTTACATTTACATTTAAATCCCGCTCAAAACCAGGACGGCTTGGCAGTTGGCGCATGCGCAATTAATTTGCAGTCTCGACGCGGGAGGGTGTGGCTGTCTCCGCTCTGCTCTGACTGCAGCTGAGCTGCTGCGGGAGGCAACTAGCACCTGTGAGTACTATGGGAGGGCAGAGCAGGGGCAGAGGGGCTCACGGCAGCACCCGCGGCTCGTTAACTGCTGAATAATACGTGAGTCTCCAAACACCAGAAAAGTGCCTAATAACAGCATTACAAGTCGTTAGATTAGTCGTTAGTCGCTTTTGACAAAAATAAGTAGCCGGAGGGTTTGGAAAGCCGCCGAATTTAACGACAAAGTCGCCAAGTTGGCAACACTGGATTCAACGTCAGTGACGGCAGGCTGAGATCCTCACCGCTGATTGGCTACCGCGACATCGCGTCACGGGAATTTGACGCTCGAGTTGAAACAATTGAACTCGAGCGGTTGTCTCGGCCCCCTTCAATCGCCTCAATCGCGCCGCGGCATTCGCATCAACCGCTTCATGCGCGCCGTCGGAGCGAATTCATGTCTGTCCGCGTCTCTGCTTTGACTTATGTAGTCGCGCTGCCTCCAAACATCGCATCGCGTCCGGTGTGAACGCAGCATTGGATATAAAGATGTACAGAGAAACAAACCCTCAAATGTATGAGCAGAGACATGTGAACCGGCGGCTGCTCACTGACCTTGGGGGGTTTGAAGGGATAATCTGTGGGGAAATGAATAGTCAGGAAAAAGACTCCGCCCTGATAGGGACTGTCGGGCTGAAACAGAGAGAACACACGTATAAATCAGTTGCTCTTTAAATTCGAGTCGTGTCGTTATCAATCCAGTAATCCCGTTTATTATATAATAAAGTTGTATACTTACAGGACCCATAATTGTAGCTTGCCAATGAAACACTGGAAACAGAAAGAGAGGATTAATACACAAACACACAGACTTTGTTGTTTTGTTTGTTTTAGTAAAATGATCACTCACTGTCTTCACCGACGGGTCCCGCAGAGCACTGAGCCGGAGGGTCTCTGGACAGATCAGTTAACTCCTGAGAGGGGGGGGGGGGGAGGGGGGGAGGGGGAAGAGGAAGAGGAAGGGGAGGGGGAGGAAAAGGAATGTTGTATTAGTATCGTCTACATTAAAGTTTCACAACACGTACATGTGAAAGTCTGAAAGAAGACCTTTATCACAAATTCAAAATAAAGCCTTAGTAGTTCTCGGTAGTTCTTTAGTAGTTCTCGGTAGTTCTTTAGTAGTTCTCTAGTAGTTCTTTAGTAGTTCTCTAGTAGTTCTTTAGTAGTTCTTTAGTAGTTCTCGGTAGTTCTCGGTAGTTCTTTAGTAGTTCTCGGTAGTTCTCGGGAGTTCTTTAGTAGTTCTCGGTAGTTCTCGGTAGTTCTCGGTAGTTCTCTAGTAGTTCTCTAGTAGTTCTCCGTAGTTTTCCGTAGTTCTCTAGTAGTTCTCTAGTAGTTCTCTAGTAGTTCTTTAGTAGTTCTCAGTAGTTCTCAGTAGTTCTCTAGTAGTTCTCTGTAGTTATTTAGTAGTTCTCTAGTAGTTCTCTAGTAGTTCTCTAGTAGTTCTCCTTAGTTCTCCGTAGTTCTCCTTAGTTCTCCGTAGTTCTTTAGTAGTTCTCAGTAGTTCTCAGTAGTTCTTCAGTAGTTCTCTAGTAGTTCTCTAGTAGTTCTCCAGTAGTTCTCAGTAGTTCTCAGTAGTTCTCAGTAGTTCTCTAGTAGTTCTCTAGTAGTTCTCTAGTAGTTCTCTTGTAGTTCTCTAGTAGTTCTTTAGTAGTTCTCGGTAGTTCTCTAGTAGTTCTCTAGTAGTTCTCTAGTAGTTCTTTAGTAGTTCTCTGGTAGTTCTTTAGTAGTTCTCTAGTAGTTCTCTAGTAGTTCTCTAGTAGTTCTCCTTAGTTCTCCTTAGTTCTCCTTAGTTTTCCGTAGTTCTCCGCAGTTCTCTAGTAGTTCTCTAGTAGTTCTCAGTAGTTCTCAGTAGTTCTCTAGTAGTTCTCTAGTAGTTCTCTAGTAGTTCTCTAGTAGTTCTCTAGTAGTTCTCTGCAGTTCTCTGCAGTTCTCTGCAGTTCTCTAGTAGTTCTCAGTAGTTCTTTAGTAGTTCTCAGTAGTTCTCTAGTAGTTCTCAGTAGTTCTCTAGTAGTTCTCTAGTAGTTCTCTAGTAGTTCTCCGTAGTTCTCCGTAGTTCTCCGTAGTTCTCCTTAGTTCTCCGTAGTTCTCCTTAGTTCTCTAGTAGTTCTCTAGTAGTTCTCTAGTAGTTCTCTAGTAGTTCTCTAGTAGTTCTCTAGTAGTTCTCTAGTAGTTCTCTAGTAGTTCTCTGTAGTTCTCTGTAGTTCTCTGGTAGTTCTCTAGTAGTTCTCTAGTAGTTCTCTAGTAGTTCTCTAGTAGTTCTCTAGTAGTTCTCTAGTAGTTCTCTAGTAGTTCTCTAGTAGTTCTCTGTAGTTCTCTGTAGTTCTCTGTAGTTCTCTGTAGTTCTCTGTAGTTCTCTGTAGTTCTCTGTAGTTCTCTGTAGTTCTCTGTAGTTCTCTGTAGTTCTCTGTAGTTCTCTGTAGTTCTCTGTAGTTCTCTGTAGTTCTCTAGTAGTTCTCTAGTAGTTCTCTAGTAGTTCTATTGGCTCAAACCACATCAGCCCTGAAACAACAGTCAGCTCTTTGTGAGTCGGCTGCTTCCTGTTCTCTCTCACCACTTCCTGTTTGAACACATCCACAACAGCTGATCTCACAGAAACACAGCAGTCCCTCATAACCAGAAACACAAGCAAGCTTTGTTTAAAACCACAGATAACTGGGTATTGAAAAACACATTTAAAATGTTTACTATGTTACTAGTAGAAGATATGTTCAGCGCTTAGTTGCAGCTCAGCAAACTAGTAAAGTTCATTTACCAAATCATTTCAGCAGCATCACTTTACTACAAAGACTTATTTGGAAAGGACAGACGCAGCTCTTCTAAACTACAGAGCTAACAAAACACTATTAAAAGGTAGGATGGAGAAACTAGCTAGAATTTGAAAATACACAATGAAACAAATCTGCCCCTTCCTTCAGAGTTCCTCACAGAGCCCCTCCTCCAACACACACGAACATGACCAATGAGGGCACGAGATAAGTGTGTGCACAGATGGAAGGCTGACAGGCAGGTAGGCCATCCAGTTACTTTAGCCGGGCCGGCTTTTTCAAAGCATTTAATATATTCATTGCTATCGGGATGTTAGCGTTTCTGAAGTGAATTACCCACCTTCTGCAGATTCTTCTCTAAACAAATTAATAGTAGGGTGCAGCATTATTTTTCACTCACAGTAAACTGAATATTGGACGAAAGAACCACACATTTAAAAAGGAGTCACCTCGGACATTTATGACTATCGTTTGAAACTTTATACGGAATGATTATTCTATCAATTAATCTGCAGTTTTACAGATTAGGGAAGAGACTGTTAGTTGCTGCTAATGTTGACTATTGTCTAAAATGTTATTTACAGAAATACAATCTAGAATTAAAAGAACGGTTTCCAATCTGACCATCAGAGGGAGAAGACAGACAGACAGACAGACAGACAGACGCAGCTGTTTGTGTAAGTACATCGACCATGTGACTGATTATAAAGACATCTCTGCAGAGAGTTTTATTTTGAAAGGACAGCAGCTTTAAAACAAACAGGTTATTGATGCGTTAGCAGCGGAGGATCTATTTATACTGCAGTGAGTCGGCGGGGGGGGGGGGGTTGGGTCAGGATATATTGGTGGGGTTTTGGGGGGGGGGATTTCAGGTCTCGGTGGTATGCGACACACTCGGCTCATCTTTCAGATTTCAGTTCAGGGAGGAGAGTAAATGTCGAGGAATTCAGACGGAGACTGAAGCAGCTGAGCAGCACTACATACTGACATACACCTGAACATCAGCCGGAGAGGACTCTTTAAAGTAGAGACACTACATACTGATATACACCTGAACATCAGCCGGAGAGGACTCTTTAAAGTAGAGACACTACATACTGATATACACCTGAACATCAGCCGGAGAGGACTCTTTAAAGTAGAGACACTACATACTGATATACACCTGAACATCAGCAGGAGAGGACTCTTTAAAGTAGAGACACTACATACTGACATACACCTGAACATCAGCCGGAGAGGACTCTTTAAAGTAGAGACACTACATACTGATATACACCTGAACATCAGCCGGAGAGGACTCTTTAAAGTAGAGACACTACATACTGATATACACCTGAACATCAGCCGGAGAGGACTCTTTAAAGTAGAGACACTACATACTGATATACACCTGAACATCAGCAGGAGAGGACTCTTTAAAGTAGAGACACTACATACTGACATACACCTGAACATCAGCCGGAGAGGACTCTTTAAAGTAGAGACACTACATACTGATATACACCTGAACATCAGCCGGAGAGGACTCTTTAAAGTAGAGACACTACATACTGATATACACCTGAACATCAGCCGGAGAGGACTCTTTAAAGTAGAGACACTACATACTGATATACACCTGAACATCAGCCGGAGAGGACTCTTTAAAGTAGAGACACTACATACTGATATACACCTGAACATCAGCAGGAGAGGACTCTTTAAAGTAGAGACACTACATACTGACATACACCTGAACATCAGCCGGAGAGGACTCTTTAAAGTAGAGACACTACATACTGATATACACCTGAACATCAGCCGGAGAGGACTCTTTAAAGTAGAGACACTACATACTGATATACACCTGAACATCAGCCGGAGAGGACTCTTTAAAGTAGAGACACTACATACTGATATACACCTGAACATCAGCAGGAGAGGACTCTTTAAAGTAGAGACACTACATACTGACATACACCTGAACATCAGCCGGAGAGGACTCTTTAAAGTAGAGACACTACATACTGATATACACCTGAACATCAGCCGGAGAGGACTCTTTAAAGTAGAGACACTACATACTGATATACACCTGAACATCAGCCGGAGAGGACTCTTTAAAGTAGAGACACTACATACTGATATACACCTGAACATCAGCAGGAGAGGACTCTTTAAAGTAGAGACACTACATACTGATATACACCTGAAAATCAGCAGGAGAGGACTCTTTAAAGTAGAGACACTACATACTGATATACACCTGAACATCAGCAGGAGAGGACTCTTTAAAGTAGAGACACTACATACTGATATACACCTGAACATCAGCAGGAGAGGACTCTTTAAAGTAGGGACACTACATACTGATATACACCTGAACATCAGCAGGAGAGGACTCTTTAAAGTAGAGACACTACATACTGATATACACCTGAACATCAGCAGGAGAGGACTCTTTAAAGTAGAGACACTACATACTGATATACACCTGAACATTAGCAGGAGAGGACTCTTTAAAGTAGAGACACTACATACTGATATACACCTGAACACCAGCAGGAGAGGACTCTTTAAAGTAGAGACACTACATACTGATATACACCTGAACATCAGCAGGAGAGGACTCTTTAAAGTAGAGACACTACATACTGATATACACCTGAACATCAGCAGGAGAGGACTCTTTAAAGTAGAGACACTACATACTGATATACACCTGACATCAGCAGGAGAGGACTCTTTAAAGTAGAGACACTACATACTGATATACACCTGACATCAGCAGGAGAGGACTCTTTAAAGTAGAGACACTACATACTGATATACACCTGAACATCAGCAGGAGAGGACTCTTTAAAGTAGACACTACATACTGATATACACCTGAACATCAGCAGGAGAGGACTCTTTAAAGTAGAGACACTACATACTGATATACACCTGAACATCAGCAGGAGAGGACTCTTTAAAGTAGAGACACTACATACTGATATACATCTGAACATCAGCAGGAGAGGACTCTTAAAGTAGAGCACTACATACTGATATACACCTGAACATCAGCAGGAGAGGACTCTTTAAAGTAGAGACTCTACCTACTGATATACACCTGAACATCAGCAGGAGAGGACTCTTTAAAGTAGAGACTCTACATACTGATA